TATTTTTTGTGAATTGTTTAAATAATTATTATATTTGATCTATACATGATGAAGTATTTATCAAACCCTTTCTAATCTCACAATATTTTATTATACATTTAAAACATTATTATTTTTTAACGTTTCGGCTCGAAGAGCTATTTTTAAAAATTCTTTTTCTTTTTTAAATTTTTTTTTATTTACTAAAAAAATAAACAGAAATTAAATAATAATAAAAAAATATGCACAATAAATAAAATATAACAATGTCAAAATAAGTAAATTAAACAAAACAACCCATCGAGGGTTCTCCTAGAGTCCATAGTTGGAAGGACAAGCCCTCAGAGTTCCATAGCCTGATTGTAAATAGTGTACATAAGTACATATGTGTTTTTTTTTGTTTACTTATCTTTAAGTTATTTTATTTTATGTATTGCATATACTTTTTGATTATTATTTAATTGTTATTTTGCTTCTGTTTATTTTTTTTTTTTTACATATAGTTTGAATGTGATCTGACCTCCCTATAACTACTGTCCAAGTGACATAATGTCATATTATTCAATAAATAAAAAATGAATTTACTCTGGAAGCTACACTGACTGCAAGTGTTTGACGTTTTTTTTTTTAAATTATTCTCCCCGCTTAAAACTATCAGTCTTTTCGTTTGAAACTACAATTCGAGTTTTTTTAAATAACAAAACGCGTTTGCTTCATTTAATGACGATTGATAGGATCATTTTCTTATTTTCAAAAATTAATTATAAGAATTTCACTAAATTTCAAATTTTAAAGTTATTTTTTACTTATTTTGATTTTTAATGCTTATTATTTTGTTTCATTTTGTATTGAAAAACATAATTATAAAAGCTATAAAACAGCTATTATAAACTGAAAAAAAATACATATTCGACAGAAAAGATATGATTTTTTTTAAAAACTAAAATCATTATTACCAAGTTTTATACAGACGATGAAAAAGTGTGACAGTTTTATCCGTTTGTTTATTTTTAAATTCAGTGAAAATCCATTGTCTTAGGTGATTCATCTTTTAGCTATGCGAGAAAATATTCTGCTAACCAGGGAATTTTGTCCAATTCATCTATTGAGATTCGATTCAGAAATGTAAGACATGAATGGATATAAAACATCATAATCAAGCATTTAATTCTTGAAAAATAGTAATTTCATAAGATAGTGATCATCATGTAGAAGATCAATTAATACTTACTTTTAGTTGCATTTAAATCAAATATATATATATATATATATATATATATATATATATATATATATATATATATATAGGAAGAACATCTTGTTATTAAAAAAACTACGAATTGTAGTTTTCGACGAAAATGCAAGGTTTAAAGCTGAGTCCAAATAACGAAATCTCACAAAATTTTCTGGGAGGATGTGTACGTGAACAGCCTTGCTCAAAAACGGAAAGTCGTACAGAAATTACATCAGCTATTATATTTAAGATATATATCAGGGACGTAGCAAACAAAATTTCACTAAAGGTGATCTACTGGAAATGGGACTTTATTGGTGGGACAAACCAAATATATACTGAATATTTATTGGTTGACCGTTGCATTATAAAGGAAGGAGATGGTCCGGGGTGGCGGTTATAAATAGGCTAAATACTGGCACAACTATTTTATTAAAAGCCAACGTTTCGACCCGACTTTGCAGGTCTTCTTCAGGGTTAGAACGGATAAGATACAAAAATATATAGAGAATTGTGGAAGTTACATAATATTAAGACAAAAAATTATAAACAGTAAGTATAAAAAGCTTATTAAAATTATAAACAGTAAGTACATTAAAATATAAACAGAATAAGCTAAGTAACAAGATCCTAAACTGAAGTAAATACATGGTAACAATTGTTGTAGTGTAATATATAATATATGCAAATGTGAATATACTTCTACAGATCTACAGAAGAGATTGAAAGAAAAGGAAAAATGATATAATATAAAATAATAGACATAAAGGAAGTATCTTGTCTTTTCTAGCCCTGAAGAAGACCTTCAAAGTCGGGTCGAAACGTTTGCTTTTAATAAAATAGTTTTGCCACTATTTAGCCTATTTATTACCGCTACCCCGGACCATCTCCTTCCTTCAAAAATATACTGCACAAAATTTTCAGACATTAGAGCAATTATCGAAAGTTTGTATTACAAAAAATTTTAAGGGTTATAAAATTTAAAAAATAAATAATTTCTACTGAAATAAAGGTGGTACAAGAAAGATCTATGATACACAGCATTAGTTTTTTTTTTTAATTTTAATTAAACACCGTAATCAATAAAAATAAAAACTATATTGTTTAAGTAGAGTGTTAAAATTAAACAATTTGTACCGAACGAAGGAGCAAAGTGGGTTCAAGTATTTTTTTAAGGAGAAATCAAATTGAGATTTGTATTTCGCACCTGTAAAAAAAATCATCCTCTAATACGAATTATTATAGCAATCGAAAAATTAAAATTGTTTCCCTCAAATTTCTACTGAATGATCCAAGTGAGTTCAAATATTTTTTTGAAAAAAGTAACGATCGAATCACATTTTTATTTCCCTATGGCGAAGTAAACATAACTACTGCCTAGATTTCTTTTGTAAGTACGTACAAAAGTAAATGTTTGAATATATAAGGGTAGAAAAAAGAGAAGTTAGAAACTTGTGAATTCATTTATGTTGTATGCTGTCCTCAAGTGTTCAACAATGGATTATGGGCGAATTTCGACCACTTAGCGAACACTTGCCTCTGGCAATCTTTGGCAGGTAGTATTTAGTTGCATAAATAGATAGCTTTATTAGTCTAACAAAAAAATATTTTTTTAAACTGGATTGGTACTTCCTATAATTAGTGCGTTCCGTAACAACAACCTAACATACTCTTTACCTTTATATATTAATATATTATATGAAATGATTATAAATAATTTAAAGAAAATCATATACATATCAGATTATTTAAAGGAAGAGTACAGATAAAAAAAAAACAAATATATGTATATATTTCAGACATTTGATACTTTTATTAAGATCAATAACTTAATATAAGAAAGACAATGTTGAGAGCGACTTCGCAGACCCGCAACAGCATCATACTTTAAAGCCATCTTAATATCGATTGCAAGTAGTTGCTCAAGCAGCCGTCACAACCTAGTTCCAAGCCTGTATAAATTATTAAGGAAAAAAAAAATTATGATCCATTTGCTTTTCACCATTAGCCATTATATATCCAATATTAGTAGTCACTTTTTAATAAATAATATAGTACCACTTTTTTGAAGAGGGCTGAAAATAAACGAGAAAAAACAACTTTTTAAAATTTTTCTTTGTTCACAAAACGTAATATTCAAATTTGATGGCAATAATTTAAAAAAAAAAAATCAAAAGAATACACACAATCAAAAATATTCTAACAAAAAAACCTCTAGGGTAGAGGCGAATACAAATTAAAAAAAAAAATTCTTGTTAAAAAAATATAACATGTAATTTCTTCTTATTTCTTTCTTTGTTGGAAAGTTTTAGATTAGTCCTAATGAATTTGGCAAACGAGACTTCCATAATAACATATATTTGACGTTTCGAGAACATCTTACCCGATTATACAACTTAAGGTAGGTTGTGACAATAAAAGACAATAAAAAAAAAAATATTATTGATGTCTTTAACTGATGATGTCATTAACCAGGATATAAAATTTTATCGTCGGGAGCTGCCATCTTGACCAGAACTTATAATTGATTAATCATAATAAGCCTTTTCTTTGTTTAATAAAATGCTAAAGATCATTTAATTATAGATTTAATCTGAAATATAAAACCTCATGTTTTGTAGAGCCCTTCGATTCATTTAAATATCATAACTAACACAAAACCATAAGAAAGATATACCCGTTCATCAAGTATTACATATAAGTCATAACTTTTTCAGTAAACTTTAACAGTGAAAATTTGAAGTTAGGATCTTTACTATTAAAAAAAAAAAAAAATAAATAGTTAATGGTTTTTCCATGTGATAGTGTTTTTCATCTGATGTCGGTTATAAGAGAAAAAAAAAAAAAATAGGCTTAGGAAGAATTTCGCTATTAAATTAGATAATTCCGCTTCCCATAATTTTTGAAATATCTAAATGGGCCTTTAACTTGTGTTTAGACATTTCACAAACTATGGAGAACAAAATTATCTAACTTAACTAAGAACATTATTGCTAAACCAAACTATTTATTTTATTTCTCATGATACCGACAGCAGAAGGAAAATTTCAAAAACAAGAAACAAAAATACTATCATAGTGAAATAACCATTTATATATTTGCTTGTCCCATAGTTTGTGAAATGTCTAAACGCACCTTCAAAGTTTAATTTTCAGAATTTTTTTTTAAATCGAGAAAGAAAGTTCTATGAAAGATATTTTTATTAAACATTTTTATTAAAATGTATTATTCATTATGTGGTATAAATTATTTACGTTTAGAATAAGGCTTTCCTCATAAAATATTAAAAATAATAGTATACGTTTGTGCAAGAGTAAAAGATCGTATGTAACAATTTTACCTATTTATTCTATATGTACTAAAGGTGACATTTTGTAATCTATAACTGCAATAAGCTGCTACAAAAGAAAATTGCAGAGAGAAATAAAATAAATCGTACTAATAAACCATTCAGAAATTATCAGTTTTTTTGTTCTCGTGTAAAAAATTAAATTTTTACTTACGACTTTTTACACTAACTAGTGGTACAATAATTGTCAGACAACATAAACTTCAAATGCAATTGATTATTACTACAAAAAACAATATTAAAAGCTACTACTTGATAAAATATTATAATATATCACAAACAAAATGAAAAATTATTAACTAGGTAGTTTGAATTAATTATTTTAAAAAATTGCAAATGAAATAATTACGAATTAAAACTACCCGCGGGCGGCGCCGTTCTGATTACGTATTGACCCGCAGCGCTAGCGTCGCCAACATAACCCTTGATTCTAGAACAGTGCGGCCGTAGTAACAGTTCGTGTAGGTTATTTGGTTTTATTTATACTTCAATTGTGTGGTTTTTATTCGATTTGATGGCTTGGTTGTTCCATATTAATATGGGTACAATGCACAGTGTACTGTGTTGTGAATTGCTTGTGTAAGATATGTCTATTTTATGATACCTATACAATGGAGCCTCTGTTTACTATTAGCATCTAGCAGGGAGTTAAAACCTTTCTTCAGAGATTGCTTCAGACAGTTTGTTAGTTCTCTTCGGATATTTTCTCTATTATATTCGAGTTGGGACGTGAAAAATATTATTAGAGGACTCAAATGACTGTCATGCAATCAATACCCACCACTGCAAGCCCCCAGCAACTTCAAGTCATTCAGGGTACAAATGGTCAGCAAATCGTGGTCCACCCAATTGGTCAAAATGGTCAAACCATCCAGCTAGCATCACCAGGACAATTACAAGTAGTACCAATACAAACTATTCCTAATAATCGGCAACAGTTGGTAATACAACAACCGCAGACTGCACAAATACTTCAAACTGCTGATGGGCAAACCTTTATATACCACCCACCAGTTCAAATAGATAGTGGCAATCCTGTACAACAAGCACAACCTACCTTAATTAATATTAATGGAAATATTGTTCAACTTGCACCTGTGGGAGCTGCACCAGCAACAGTTCAAGCAGCGACAGTACAGCCTACTACTACAGGGACTGTTTCACAACCACAACAGAATATTGTCATACTCGGAAGTGAAAATAAACAAAATACAGCCACAACTACATCACAATTTACCAGAGTGCCTGCACAAACACCGGCTACAGAATATCTTGAGGAAGAACCATTGTACGTAAATGCAAAACAGTATAAGAGGATATTAAAGAGGAGACAGGCAAGGGCGAAACTGGAAGCTGAGGGTAGGATACCGAAAGTTAGGCAAAAATATCTCCATGAATCGAGGCATAAACATGCAATGAACAGGATTCGAGGGGAAGGTGGTCGTTTCAACCCTGGTTCAGTGAAGAAGCTTAAAGAAAAGGATGGTGATGGAACACACTTGCAACAGAATCACTTATTAAGGACAAGGCTTCAAGGTATCACTGTGTCCAGTGCGAGTCACATCTCTGCTGCAGACCTCGAAACATCTCTCATTATCGATGGAACTACCACATCAGTGATACCAGATCTCATAGATCCACTAACGACAGTGACCAGTGATTAATGTAAATATTATTAATAAGTATGCACATTTTAATTTTTATCATCACTACGAGTATATATATATATATATACATATATATATAAACATATGTATATTTTATCGTTTTAGACTTTATACTTCACCGGTTGAAGTTATTTAGGCAATTAATTATTTATAAACACAAAAAAATAGTGTAAAAATGTAATTTATTAAATAAATATAAAATTTATAGAAATAAGCAGTTTATTTTTCTGTCGTTTTTAACGGCCATTTTTTTATAAATTTGATAAGTATTTATATTAAAACTTATCGAATAGAAGAAGTGATTAAATTTATGAAAAGAAAAAAAAAAAAAATCAATTTTCTGTACCTGCTTAATAGATATTAGACAGTAAACAACAAATCTTTAAAATCATTAAAAGGTGTAACTATATCGGAATTGTGTTGTGAAATTTGAAATTTTGTAATTTAACAGTTATATTTTTTTAATATGTTTCTGTGATGTTTTCAAAGGAGCCCTGTTGTATGAATTTCTTTTAAGGATACAAGTGATTCGATTAAATTGCATGAACATTGAACTGTGGTGATTTGACTAAGAAGTTTTAATACTTGAATAACTCTTCGTTTTGTCTTATTCCTTTGTAAATTAATTAGATATAGTGTCCTATTTTTAAGTAATGCAAAAGCAATAAGTTTAAAACTGTTTAATTCTTTTGTAAACTGTTAAGACTTGATTTTTTTTTTCTGTTATCATTTTAAGTTGTAAAAATATTGTTGGGCTCTTCATGATGTTCAAGTTTTATTGAAATTCGCAAGGTAAATATAACGTTTACTAAGAAAAAGTGTTACGATTTAACAGTGTTTTATTTTAATTGATAAATTAACCTTTTGCTCCAACGAAATCCTGGATTATATTCTTAATATTCTTCAGTTTTTTTTATTAATGAATGTCGGGCTTATTAACCATATAATAAACTCAAAAGAGGTTTATGTTTTTGGACTTAGTTATACAGTTAACAATTTTTTACTGTATCAGTCTAGATTTAAAACAGCATAACTCACAAATTTTAAACTTAAAGGAGAACCAGAAATAGTTTAAAATTAAAATATTCATCACATAAAGTGTTCTTCTTTATCACTAAGCTGATATGCTCTTGATTATAAAAGAATAAATATATTTTTTTTTTTTATTAAATTTAGGCACAAATAAAATAAACCAAAATAAAAACACTCACAGTTTACATTGAGACCGATGACATATTTTTATTACAATATAGTTTTATAACTCTTATTTTGATTCAAACGACAATATATTTATTTCAACATAAAAGTTAAATTCTTTAAATTTAAACAGTATTATTAAAATTTACTTCAGTCTGAGTTGTCTTCTGATTCATCAGTGTTAGTTAATGTGTAGGTAAAAATAATTGATTAACTATTCTTAACCAGTCTATTGAGCTATGAGTCTAAAAATTAAAATTAATGAGCTAAATTGCTAATTTAATTTTAATTGTATAAATGAAATGAATTTACTTTAATGAACTTTTTTTTAAACTGTACTAACCTTACGTTATCAATGCCTATAGTTTATCTAAATGACAAAGTTTTGGAAAAGCCTCAGTTGGTTTTTTTAAAATTGTTTTATCAGATGATACTTTTTAAACTCCAGAATTAACTTCATATTTATGTCTTTTGATCCTATTGCTGAGCATAACAAAAATTATAAATAAATTAAAAACGTAACTGTGAGGTCCGAAAACCTTAAAGAAACCGAAAAAAATATTTAAACATGAAATGAAATTACCAAAATATCTATTAATTTTAATGGCAGCTAAAAGTTAAAAAAATACTAAATTTTAATTAAATAAAATAAGAAAAAGTTGCTGAACAAAATTTATTGTGTATGAACATCAAAATATTTTTAATTTTTCTTATTATAAATCAAAAACATAGTATGCAACCCATTCCTGGGTTGGGTTAGTATATTTAATGGATTAAAAAAAACAATGAGAAAGAAAACATTTTTTGGTCTGTGAAAATCAGTAGGAACATTACCATAAAACAAAAATATGTGAAATATAAACTTTCCATTCTTTTTTTTTTTTTACAGACTGGAACAAAAATATTTTGTCAGTATATTACAAAAATTCACTAAGTACATTTTTAAAGGAACTGAACTTCAAGAACATTTTAGGAGTCAACCGTATTTATTGATTAAAAAAACACATGAATTGTACTAAAATTACCAACCATTTTATATATCGAACATAGTTATAATAAATGCACAATATTCTGATTTCACATATGAAAATTCATCAAAATTCTTAGTGATTTAAGGTAATGAAATTAATTTCACTTAATGACTTTTTGTGATAAACTGATGGTTTATTAGTAATAATGAAGTATTACATTTTGATATTAAATGGTATTAATAGCATTATGGGAACTAATTGTATTGAGGTTTAGGATACTCAAAAGCTATATCTTAATGAAAAATAAATGTTTGAACTCATGCAGATATTTGATGAAAGATTGTTTTAAAAAAAAAGAAAAAGGAATACTTTTCTTTTTACCACACAAATTAATAAAAACAGATCAGTTTCATTGATGTACATTCTTCTATCTCTGTAATAGAAATGTTATTGAATAATTTTCAAAGTAAACATAAATCATGATATCTCAGTCAATGCTAATATTAAAATGTGCCTCAGTTAACTATAAATATTTTATATGGTATACATCATTGTAAAGTTAAGCTTTTCCAGATATTACATCTTACCCAGAAGGCATTATTGTTTAAATGTTTATGAATTAATTTTCAATAAAAATAATGGATAATTGCTGTTTCAAATCCTTTGGAATAAAATTTTAATATAATAAGTTTCCTGTTGGTTCTATTAAGTTGATGCAATATGTTATGTACCTATTGTTGGCCACATGTCTATATTTTGAATTATGATTCAAGTTCATTTATTTTTATTTCGTTGCAATCGTAAATACAGATATGATCGTTGGAACTATCATGAGTGTTGAGATAACCTCAAATGATTTACTGCCATGATTTATGTTACTTTCGTATGATTTATATAATTTCTTATTTAAACATTAAATAACACAGCATAATTTAAAACCCATTTGATTTTTCAATGAAATGATCTAATCGTAGTTCTTTCATGGTGATGACAATATTTTTTTTTTCTAATATTTTGAATGGCACATTTAGACAAAATTTGCTTTATTCCCCCATTATAAAAAACAAAACAAATGAAACCCATGTGTTGGGAAAAGATTATTATGCATATAGGGGTCAAGGTATAACTGTCAACCCTTTGATTTCAACATATTTACAATAAATGCAATATAAAAAAAATCACAACTTGAATGACAAGTGACAGGTTATTTATTATTTGAAAATTTTGAGAAAAACTTATAACAAGAACAAAACGGCACTCTCATCATCAAAGAAATTTAATTTAGAAAATTGTCTCTCGTTTGTAGCTGGATAATTATTGTTATTGTGGTAATTATTTAGTTTGCTTTGATAGTTAGCTATACAAACCTGGTTGCTACTTTTGTCTTCAACTAGTTTCTCACCTGTCGTTATGACTCTTTACAGAGCTTTATATAATGCATCAATACTACCGTTTAGTTACTCCAAAGATTGGTAGCCACATATGTTACAATATGTTAAAGGGATGGCATTGCTTTGGTAAGAACATTGATTTTTTACTGGTTCATCACCAGACTGGTGATTAGCATTTAGTTTGTCTTTCATCAATACAGAGTTAGTTATTAAGTTAATAATTAGTTATTAGTAAATAGTTTAGTTAGCATTAATCAGTTAGTTATTCCTGTTGAATTATTTATGAAGAAAGCTGTGTAAAAGTTAAACTTTTATGTTATTAAGTGCCAACTATATATCTGTTTATCAAATACATGGCTTCTGGTAAGAATTGTATTTTTAAATAACAATTTAAATTGTAATAATCAATAATAAAATGGCAACTCGAGAATTAATAATCTGTTAAATTTAATTTTGGTTGCTGTTAATAAATAAGGCACAAATTCAGGTTTATATATTTTAAGTGACATTATTTAACAAGAATAGTTGATCTTCATCATTGATATTAAAGTTAAATTCACCTATCAAAAGGTGAGAAAATGTTTACAGAACCATGAATTATATCAAGGCAGAGAAATAGAACAGGAAAAATAGTTATAAACGGAGAACTAAGTTTAATGTGTATTTTCTAGATGATTTATGGCTAAAAAGAAAACCTGATATGGCTTGTCTTATTCTGAACGAATTTTCTATCTAAAATAAAAAATGCTCTGGATGTGCTGGATATATTGATTCACAGATGGACCTATGCCTCAACAATTACAGGCACCTCCATTGCCAGAAGTAAAAAAGATCTGGTACTTCCAATTGAAGTACAAAAATTATTTTTAGAAAATCTAGAAAAATACAAGGGATATAATATCTTGTATACGGATGCTTCAAATTCAGATAAGGAATTAGGAGGCATGGTTTTAAATTCTGATATTTGAAAAATATTTAAACTCCCAGAGGCCCGCTCCAGTTTTTACTGGCTAAACGGTAGCGATACGAGAAGTTCTAAACGACATAGAGACGACTGAAACTACCAACTGGGCCTTGGTGAGGGACTCGTTGAGTACACTACTAGTCATTGAAACTACGAGACCAAAAAATACAGTGGCAAAACAAATAAGAAATGTTTGGTGGCTACTAAGAGAGAAGGGCAAAGAAGTAGTGTTCGTCTCGGTCCCTTCACATCGCAGGATTACTGACAATGAACAAGCTGATCAAGCAGCCAATATGGCAAAAAAGGCAGGCACAACTCCGGTGGAATCAATCAGACTAATTTAAAGGACGCTTTAAAAAAAGTTAAGAAAGATATTTGGAAAATGTGGAAAAATATGTGGGAGCAACAAGAGTCAAAATTAAGAGAAATAAAAATCCACTGTTCAAAATGAGAAAACTTCTTTCGGTCCTCTAGAAAAGAAGAGACAGCTCTGTAGACTAAGAAATGGCTATTGTGAGTTCTTGCACGCCTACCTACTAAGTGGACTTGGTCCTCTGACATGCGAGAGCTGCAATATCCAAAGGACAGTAAAATACATTATACAAGAGGGTAATATATTTGACACTGTTAGGAAAAAGTTGGA